TTTTTTTTCTGAAGTGGGGTGCTTTTTGTGGGGTTCAATGTTGCAGCACTCTTTTAAGGGGGTACATTTGAAAGTTTAAGCTTTGCAACCATACAGCTGCCTCTAACTACCTGTTTTGTGCTAAAAGGAAATTTTCAATAGTGAAAATGTGAGTTGTGGATTTATCTCATCTGGACAGAAATAAATTCATACCTTGGAGATGAGGTAACATTGTGGGCATGTTTGTCTTTGGTGATGGCCGTATGTCACTACAATCACCACTTCCATCATTACTATTACTACTCCCACTTCTGTCACACCAGACAAATAACAAGAGTGAGAACAAGAAATGCAGTTTCCACAGTGCAGATGATTGCACTCAGCGGCCTACTAAAATTGCACATTTCCTGGACTAGCACAAGAATTAGAGAGAATGTGGTGGTCTCAGCCCATCTCAAGCCCCATCAGCCTCTTGCAGTATCAACATCTCACTGTGCTAGACGTAATTATGACATTTACACATAGTATTTAAATATGCCATGTACAATTTAATATAGTTTTAAATTCAACATGCTTTCTAGTTTTGCTTGTTAGGTTGTCTGGGTCACGGTAGTTCTAAGGCTAAGCTTTGGCTGCCTCCTGGTGGTCACTGTGATTATTACATCCTATTTATCTCTTCCCAAGGAATGCGGAATGACCTTATAACTGCAAGGTCATATGACACTATGATTAAAAGGAACCCTAAGTCTCCTGTTGTAGCAGAGGAAGAAACTCACACTTAGAGAAGAAAAATGACTAAAATTAACACAGTGTAAATTAGTGCTGGAGTTCAGTGTAGAAATACAGTTATCGCATGTCATCATTCATTGATTTCAAGGCATATGTTGAGGGGTGGAGAGGATAGGAATAAATAATGGACTGTACCTTTAAAAAATATAAAAAGACATGTAAACAAATATAAATGCTAGGAGTCAGGTAGGGTAAGAGCAAGATAAATAAGATTAATAACCTCCTGGGTTGCTAAAATAAGTTAGGACAAATGAAATAAAGTTAAATCTTGAAATGAGTGTACGTTTGCCAGTTGAATGGGGGTGGGTAATACATTCTGGACAGGGGGGGTAGCATGAACAAGGACACAGGGGCACACATTTATATGACCTTTCTTTAAGGAGGTAGGAGGAAGTTGAGAGTGGGGAAGGGATTTTTTAAGAGAAAAGATATGGCTGGAAAAATAGGAAGTTCGTGGGCATATTGTACTCTATTCAGTCATTTGGACTTTGTTCTGCAGGTAGAAGTGTTGGCAACAGTGTGGTGATGTGAGGGGTTGCCTTGGAGGTGGGAGCACTGGAGCAGGAAGGCAGCTGGATGTTGCTATAATCCAGGAAGCAGATGAGGAGGGCTCTGAGGAGGATACAACCAGATCTTCATTATCCACATTGTTGTATCCCAGATGCTTAGCACATCTTGGGGCACTAACTAACTCTTCCTTAAATGAATGAATAGACAGTGAGGGTGTGATAGCCAGATGAAATATTCTGATTAGTTAGCAAGTGTGTACACAGAAAAAAGGCCAAGCATGCATTCCTTGTTTGTATACTATTAGATTATTTGTATATTTTACTTGTAAAGTATAAAACTAACTATAGTAACAGGGAAATAATGGAAAGTTCTGGCTCAGTTTTCTAGTTAACTGAAAGTGAGGTGAAGTTGCCCAGGGTAATATAATGCCTCTGTGCTACAAAATATAAATATTTCATGTGATATCTTTTAAGTAAATAATGGGAGTGCTCAAAAATTATTTTTCGAGAAGTTTAGCACTTTAAAAATCACAGCCTTCTATTAAATAACTAAACACTTAAACACTGATAAAAACCATACTAAAATTACAAACAACATTGTCACTGAGAGCTGTAATTAGGAGAAAGAAAATAATATTTTAATTCAAGAAGTTACCAAAAGAAGAAGTAGAGAGTTTTAGAAGCCCATGGTAAAAGAAAGAGCTATTTAGAAAGTCAGGTTTG